CATGTTCCACATCGCTCGTGATTTTGCAGCATTTGCGTCCCTGGTCTTTTTTTGCACCACACTTGCCGTTTGGGGTGATGTGTTGCTCGCTGCCAGCTGAATTGGACCGGTCGCTCGACAAGTTTGACCTTTTGCGAGTACGGCCGTTCGAATTGAAGATCCAAACCCAGGAAAGAACATCGGGTACAAGTTTGCGGACGGGTCGACAGGTCCCCGCAGACACGTTTCACTAGGAGCTGATTCCTTGAATTGAAACGAGCCCCGATATGACCGACGTCGACAATCCACCTGCTGGTTCTTTACAAGGTTCAGGTGTCAAGGAGCGGTTAGACGCCGGGGTCGGTTTCGTTCATTTGAGAGTGCATTCGGCGCTGTCACTCCTTGAAGGTGCTTTGCCCATCAAGAAACTGATGGACCTTGCCAAGGCGGACGAGCAGCCCGCGCTTGCGATCGCCGATACCAACAATCTGTTTGGCGCGCAGGAATTTTCCGCGAAAGCCTGGGGCACAGGTATCCAGCCAGTCACTGCATGTCAGCTATCGATCCATTTTGACGATGGCCTGGAGAGCGGCCGCCGCGGTGAACTCGCGCTTGCCGATCTCGTGCTCATCGCCATGACGGAAACCGGTTACGGCAATCTCATGGAGCTGACGTCAAAAGCCTTTCTCGACACCGATACCGGTCTCAAACCCCACGTCACGATCGAGAAACTTCTTTCCAAGTCAGAAGATCTGATCGTTCTGACAGGTGGGCACCTTGGACCGATCGGCGCGGCACTTCTGGCCGGGCAAAAAGACATTGCACGGTCACGCCTGAACAGGCTTTCAACGGGATTTTCTGAGCGCTGCTATATTGAAATTCAGCGACACGGCATGGAAGGCGAACGCAAGACGGAAGACGCTTTCATCGATCTTGCCTATGAGTTCGGTTTACCGCTTGTTGCGACGAACGAGGCTTTTTTTCCCAAGAGAGAAGACTACGAGGCCCATGACGCGCTGATCTGTATCTCCGAGGGACGGGTGTTGATCGAGGATGACAGGCGGCGCCTGACACCGGAACACTATTTCAAGAGCCGTTCGGAAATGTGCGCGCTGTTTGCGGATTTGCCGGAAGCTCTCACCTCGACGATTGAAATTGCAAAGCGGTGCAGCTTCAGGCCACTTCGCCGGGAGCCGATCCTGCCGAGGTTTGCCAGCGCCGATGCCGACCCGGAAGAAGCGGAGCGCGCGGAATCCGAGGAATTGAAGCGTCAGGCCAGGGAAGGGCTTCAGGCCCGGCTCGATGCCCACGGACTGGCGCCAGGCCTTGAAGAAAAGGACTATTGGGAGCGTCTCGATTACGAAACCGGCATTATCGAGCGCATGAAATTTCCCGGTTACTTCCTGATTGTCGCCGATTTCATCAAATGGGCCAAGGCACAGGATATACCGGTTGGTCCGGGGCGCGGATCAGGTGCTGGTTCCCTTGTTGCCTGGTCGCTCACAATTACCGATCTGGACCCGATGCGGTTTTCGTTGCTGTTCGAACGGTTCCTCAATCCGGAACGGGTCTCGATGCCGGATTTTGATATCGATTTCTGCCAGAGCCGCCGCGAAGAAGTCATTCGATACGTACAGGAAAAATACGGCCGTCAGCAGGTTGCCCAGATCATCACTTTTGGATCGTTGCAGGCGCGTGCTGTGCTGCGAGATGTAGGGCGTGTGCTGCAGATGCCATACGGTCAGGTCGACAGGTTGTGCAAGCTGGTTCCGGCAAATCCGGCCAACCCTGTCACGCTTGCCCAGGCCATCGAGGACGAACCGCGCCTGCGTGAAGCAGCCAAGGAAGAGGAGATCGTCGAACGACTGCTGGGAATGGCGCAGAAGCTTGAAGGCCTCTACCGGCATGCGTCAACGCATGCGGCGGGTGTCGTGATCGGTGACCGGCCGCTGGAACAACTGGTGCCTCTCTATCGCGATCCCCGCTCCGACATGCCGGTTGCGCAGTTCAACATGAAGATGGTCGAGGACGCCGGCCTCGTTAAGTTTGACTTTCTCGGATTGAAGACCCTTACGGTCATCGATACTGCGGTCGGGTTGATCGAACGGCGCGGAGTGAAGGTTGATGTTGCCGGCCTGCCAATTGACGACCTCAAGACGTATGAGCTGCTTGCGCGCGGCGAAACCTTCGGCGTGTTCCAGCTGGAAAGTCAGGGGATGCGCCGAGCCATTGCAGGAATGAAGCCGGACCGGTTCGAGGACATCATTGCACTTGTGGCGCTTTACCGCCCGGGCCCGATGGAAAACATTCCGGTCTACAATGCGGTAAAACACGGCGAACAGGATCCTGACTGCCTGCATCCTCTACTTGAAACAATTCTGATGGAGACGAACGGCATTATCGTCTACCAGGAACAGGTAATGCAGATTGCGCAGGTTCTTTCCGGATATTCGCTCGGCGAAGCTGATCTGCTGCGTCGGGCGATGGGCAAAAAAATTGCCGCTGAAATGGAAATCCAGCGAGCCCGTTTCGTCGACGGTGCTGTGGAACGCGGCATCAACAAGGCCCAGGCAGGAACGATTTTCGATCTTGTTGCCAAGTTCGCCAATTACGGGTTCAACAAGTCTCACGCTGCAGCCTATGCGCTTGTTTCCTATCATACCGCCTGGCTCAAGGCGAACCATCCGGTTGAGTTCATGGCCGCCTCCATGACACTCGATCTCGGCAATACCGACAAGCTAGGAGACTTTCGGCAGGAAGCCCGGCGGATGGGGATTGTCATCGAGCAGCCATCGATCAACCGCAGCCAGGTCTTTTTTGACGTCGCGGACGGCAGGATCCTTTATGCAATGGGCGCGATCAAAGGGGTCGGCGAACAGGCCGTTGAACATATTGTAGACGTCCGTGGCGATGAACCCTTCACGAGCCTTGGCGATTTCGCACGCCGAATTTCGCCGAAAGCACTCAACAAAAGAACACTTGAAAACCTTGTTGCTGCAGGCGCTTTTGACGAGCTCGAGCCGAACCGCGCACGGGTTTTTGAAGGCATTGACCGGATCATGGGATTGGCACAGCGAACGGAAGAAAACAGGACGCTGGGTCAGGATGAGCTGTTTGGGGGCAGCGACAGTGAGGAACCCTTGCAGCTCAATGAGGTGCATGGCTGGACCAACGAAGAAAAACTTCAACGGGAACTTTCCGCGATCGGGTTTTATCTCTCCGCGCATCCGATTGATGAATATTCAAGCGTCCTTGAAAAAATGCGCGCGCAGCCCTGGACGCAATTTGCCGAAGCGGTGAAGCGCGGTGCATCGCACGGACGCCTGGCCGGTACGGTGGTTTCCATGCAGGAACGCAAAACCAAATCCGGGACCCGAATGGGGATTGCCCGGCTTTCGGACGCAACCGGCCAATACGAAGCACTTTTGTTTCGGGAAAAGCTGGAACAGTACCGCGATGTGCTTCAGGCTGGCCGGTCGGTCGTTGTTCTTGTCGGTGCCGACATGAGGGACGAAGAACCTTCGCTTCGCATTGAGCAAGTTGATCCGATCGACAAGGTGGCTGCTCGTCTCCAGAAAAGCATGCGCGTGTTTGTTCGCGACGAACGTCCGATTCAAAGCCTTGCAAAACAGCTTCACGTCAGAGGCGAGGGGGACGTTACGGTGATTGTGCTTCTGGAAAACGGGGCACGCGAAGTCGAGGTGAAACTTCCCGGAAGATTTCGCCTGTCACCAGAAATCGCGGGGGCGCTGAAGGCTGTCCCTGGGGTGACGGATGTTCAGGTTGCTTGATCGGTAAATTTCCATTCAACCAGACGATTCTCCGGTGCATGCAATTGACCGGCAGGCGAGACGCGTCAGGATTGAATCGAATTTATTGGATTGAGAAAGTTTCGCAATTGAGGTTTTGGAGCAGATTTTTAGATTTCAAATGACTTTATTAATGCAATGTTAGAGTAATTGTTCTTCCAAGTTCTTAATGTTTTGAACAGTACTTGAAATTTTGGCAAATTGTTAATGGTAGAATTAGTTTCTATCGCGAAGTTGTTTATATTCGGAGCCAGTTCCCTGTACTGTCAAGATGAAAACAAATGTGTGTGCTGGGAATTTGCAAATTGTGGACGACGCTCGCTAGGATATTTGTACTGCTCGTATCCCTTGGCGCGGGATATCAAGCCTTCCAGTTTGTAAGGAACTCTGAGGAGGTCGCCATTGCGCCGCCACCTCCGGCACCGGTCGTGCACGCGCAGGTTCTGGTTGCTGCCAAGGATATTCCACAAGGTGGCAAGATCACCGACAGGGACTTTGCCTGGGTGGAATGGCCGAAAAACGCTGTGCCGAATGGCGCATTGACCAAGCAAACCCACAATATCGAAAACCCCGAAGTGCTCGGCAGTATCGCCAAGTCAGCAATTTACTCAGGTGAACCGATCCGCGGGGAACGGTTGATTCGAACAGACAAGGGATACATGGCGACGATCCTGCCAAAGGGAAAGAGGGCGATCGCTGTCAAGGTGGAGCAGGAAACCTCAGCAGGCGGCTTCATTCTTCCCGGCGACAAGGTCGATCTTATCCTGACGCAACGCGTCGATGGTGTCGGGGTGACAAGTGAAACGATCCTGGAAAACATTCGCGTTCTGGCCATCGACAGTACAACCGCCGGAGAGCAGGATACCAAGAACCTTTCGCCCAAACGAACCGCGACGCTGGAACTGACCCTGTTTCAATCCGAAGTCGTTGTTCAGGCGCAACAGGTAGGTTCGATCGCGTTGGCCCTGCGCAGTGCTGAAGATTCGGCCGAAGATGCCGAGGTCAACGACCGGCGTCGGGCGCAGGTCTTTGTGCGCGTCCAGCCAGACCACTGGTCTGCCGGCTCGCAGGGCGCAAGTGTCATCGACTGAGTGCGACTGACAAATAGCCCGGGATCTTCGTTCCTCCATCCATGCAATGAGTTTGAAGCGTTTCGTTGGGCTTGCTTCTCTCTCCGCTCATCTGAGTCCGGTTTTCTGCGCTCGCCAGGACATGGGTGTGGCTGGAATTTTGACGTAGTGACCCAATCTTCCGAAATGCGTTAAAGAAAACCGGGATTTGGGTCTTGAAATAAATTCCCGCCCCAACTATAAGGCGCCAATTCCACACGCAAGGGGCGGAACCTGAGCTTATCGGGGTCCATCCGGTGGCCGAAAGGAGTGATCCTCCGGCCCATACTCCTCTTGCGGAGGTTAAACCGGAAAACTCAGGAGATTATGGGCCATGGCATTGCCCGATTTCACCATGCGTCAGCTGCTCGAAGCCGGCGTTCACTTTGGTCACCAGAAACACCGTTGGAACCCGCGCATGGGTCAGTACATCTTTGGTGTACGCAACGATGTTCACATAATGGATCTGTCCCAGACCGTTCCGCTTCTGCACCAGGCGCTCAAGACAGTATCCGATACTGTCGCTGGCGGTGGCCGCGTGCTGATCGTCGGGACCAAGCGTCAAGCACAGGACGCTGTCGCGTCTTCTGCACGCAACTCTGCCCAGTACTTTGTCAACGCTCGCTGGCTCGGCGGTATGCTGACCAACTGGAAGACCATTTCCCAGTCGATCCAGCGCTTGCGCAAACTTGAAGAAACCCTGTCCTCCGATGCGGCAAATGCTCTGACCAAGAAAGAGCGTCTGTTCATGGACCGCGAGCGCGAGAAGCTCGAACGGAACCTCGGTGGTATCAAGGATATGGGTGGTATTCCCGACCTGATCTTCGTGATTGACACAAACCGGGAAGCTATCGCCATTCAGGAAGCCCGCCGTCTGGGTATTCCGGTTGCTGCTATTTTGGACTCCAATTCCAATCCGGATGGCATCACTTATCCGGTACCGGGCAATGACGACGCCGGCCGTGCGATTTCGCTTTATTGCGATCTGATCGCCCGTGCAGCGATCGACGGCATTTCCCGTGCACAGGGTGCTGCCGGTATGGATATCGGAGAATCGGAGGAGACTCCGCTGGAAGAAGCACTCGTTGAATCTTCCGAGGAAGCTGCACCAGTTGCTGAAGAAGCTGCACCGGTCGCTGAAGAAACGGCACCTGCCGCAGAAGAAGCTGCGCCTGCAGCTGAAGAAGCAGCATCGGTCGCTGAAGAAGCTGCGCCTGCAGCTGAAGAAGCTCCGGCTGAAGCCAAGCCTGTCGCGGCTGAAGCCTAGGATATTTCTGCCGCGGCTCTCGCGGCAGTTTTATGTTGAATTCGCAAGGCGGACTGCACTTTGTTGCAGTCCCGTCATATAGACGCGCGATGCAATGGGCTAAACCGCGTCTTATCTGAAACCTCCCATCCACGAGGCAATCGATGAGCATTACCGCTGCGATGGTAAAAGAGCTCCGTGAGAAATCCGGCGCTGGCATGATGGACTGTAAAACCGCTCTGAGCGAATCAGGCGGTGACATGGAGGCGGCCGTCGACTGGCTGCGCACCAAGGGCCTGGCAAAGGCTGCCAAGAAGGCAGGCCGAGTTGCTGCTGAAGGCCTGGTAGGTGTTGCTGCTGACGGTGGCAAGGCTGCCGTGATCGAGCTGAACTCCGAAACCGACTTCGTCGCGCGTAACGAAGGCTTCCAGGAACTTGTCACCAAAGTTGCCAAGGCAGCCGTTGGAACCGATGGTTCGGTTGAAGCCGTTTCTGCGACTGATCTCGATGGCAAGTCGGTATCCGATGCGATCACCGATGCAATTGCAACCATCGGCGAAAACATGACCCTTCGTCGCTCTGCCTTGCTTGCAGTCAACGAAGGCGTTGTATCTGTCTATGTTCACGGCAAGGTTGCCGAGGGTCTCGGCAAGATCGGCGTTCTCGTTGCGCTTGAGTCGTCAGGTGATCAGGCAAAGCTTGATGCGCTTGGCCGGCAGATTGCCATGCACGTTGCCGCAACCAGCCCGCTCGCTCTGAATGTTGCAGAGCTGGACCAGGCGGTTGTCGAGCGTGAAAAGTCGGTGTTCTCCGAACAGGCGCGTGAATCGGGAAAACCGGACAACATCATTGAAAAAATGGTGGAAGGACGTTTGCGCAAATTCTACGAGGAAGTTACCCTCGAGAAACAGGCTTTTGTTATCAACCCGGACCAAACGGTTGAACAGGCTGTAGAGGCGCTTGCCAAGGAACTGGGTACAGAAGTCAAACTTTCCGGCTTCGTTCGCTTCGCACTGGGTGAGGGGATCGAAAAAGAGGAACAGGACTTCGCCGCAGAGGTGGCGGCAGCCACCGGGCAGTAAGCTCAAGGAAAGCGCCGGCAAGACCGGCGCTTTTTTTTTAGGAAGACAATTCTAAGTCAGGTGAACCCATGTCGAATTCTTTGCGTTGGAAACGGATCCTTCTGAAACTTTCCGGCGAGGCCCTCATGGGCTCGCAGGCTTTTGGAATTGACCCGGCCATTGTGCAAAGGATCGCCAAGGAGATTGCCGATGCTGTCGCTCTTGGAGCACAGGTCGGTGTCGTCGTCGGCGGCGGCAACATTTTCCGCGGCGTCGCGGTTGCTGCAAAGGGCGGCAACCGGGTCACAGGCGACCATATGGGCATGCTGGCAACTATCATGAACAGCCTGACGCTGGCGGATGCCCTTCGCCGTCTGAAGGTCAATGCACGTGTTCTGTCCGCCGTCGCTGTGCCTTCGATCTGCGAAACCTTTTCCCAGCGTGTCGCCGATCGCTACATGGAAGACGGAGATGTCATTATCTTCGCCGGAGGGACAGGAAATCCCTTCTTTACGACCGATAGCGGTGCTGCCCTGCGCGCTGCCGAAATGAAGTGCGATGCCTTTTTGAAAGGTACACAGGTGGACGGGGTCTATTCCGAAGACCCCAAGGTCAATCCCGAAGCGGAACGGTACCAGACCCTCGGCTATGAAGAAGTCATCACACGCAATCTGAAAGTCATGGATACGACGGCGATCGCCCTGGCGCGTGACAATTCAATTCCGGTTATCGTGTTTTCAATCCACTCGCCTGGTGCGTTGGTGAGTGTGCTGCAGGAAACGGGCACTTATACAGTCGTTGGAGACTGAAACTTTTAGGCCCGTTCAGCCTTCAAGCTCTTGTGTTTCAGCGCGTTTGTGCCATGTTGGCGCGCGCTGAGACTCTATTTAGCCAAGCACAAATCAATAGTGAGGACAAAATGTCGGTAGAAGGTGTCGATCTGGATGATTTGAAGCGCCGTATGCAAGGGGCTGTTTCTGTACTGAAGACAGATTTTTCCGGCCTTCGTACCGGCCGCGCCTCAGCGTCCATGATGGATCCGATCTCCGTCGATGCTTACGGTCAGGCAATGCCGATCAATCAGGTCGCAACTGTGTCTGTCCCCGAACCGCGCATGGTGGCGGTGCAAGTCTGGGACAAGAGCATGGTTGCTGCCGTCGAAAGGGCTATCCGCGAATCGAATCTCGGCCTCAATCCTGTCGTCGATGGACAGCTTCTTCGTCTTCCAATTCCAGAGCTTAATGAGGAGCGTCGCCATGAACTTATCAAGGTGGCGCACAAGTATGCCGAACAGGCGAAAGTTGCTATCCGCCACGTGAGGCGTGATGGAATGGACGACGCAAAAAAGGCTGAAAAGGACGGCGAGATTTCTCAGGATGACAGTCGGGTCGCCTCGGAGGAAGTCCAAAAACTCACTGATCAGATGATCGGTGAAGTGGACACCATGCTGGAGAAGAAAGAACAGGAAATTTCACAGGTCTGAGTGTTTCTTGAACCAGTGAATTGGGGGAGCCGATGAGCGTCAGCCCACATCCGCAAAGACCTGTCGAAGATAGCTCCAGCGGCAAGATGCCGAAACACGTTGCCTTCATAATGGACGGCAACGGACGTTGGGCCACCGCAAGGGGGCTGCCGAGAACGGAAGGTCACCGCCAGGGACTCGAAACCTTGCGCAGTATCATCCGTCATGCGGGCAAGGTTGGTGTGGAGATCATCACGATCTACAGCTTTTCGTCTGAAAACTGGAATCGTCCGGCGACCGAAGTTTCCTTCCTGATGGGGCTCTTGAAACGTTTCGTGCAACGCGACCTGAGTGAATTGCACGAAGCAAATGTCCGCATACGCATCATTGGGGGCAGGAGCGATCTGGATCCGGGTATCCTGTCTCTGCTTGAAGAAGCGGAGGAATTGACGCGCCGCAATTCCGGGCTGGAGTTGGTTGTTGCGTTTAACTACGGCTCCAGAGCCGAAATCCTGCGGGCCGCCCAGCATCTGGCACAACGTGTTCAGGATGGTGACATACGTTTGGAAGAGATTACCGAAGCGGCCTTCTCACAAAGCCTGGACACTGGTGGGCTGCCAGACCCGGATCTGATTATCCGAACGAGCGGTGAGTTACGCCTTTCAAATTTCCTGTTGTGGCAAGCAGCTTATTCCGAGTTCTATTTCTGTGATCTGAACTGGCCTGATTTTGATGAGGCCGCGTTTGACGAGGCGCTTTCATGCTTTGGCAATCGTCAACGGCGATATGGCGGTCTGGATGCCAAGGCCTTATGACTTGCGGCCTGCCTGATGGCTGACATTGAAAAGAAACAGAATACGTCGTCGGATCTTCGGTTGCGCCTGATTTCGGCAGTGATCCTCGGACCCCTTGTGCTGTTTATCGTTTATCTCGGGGGAGCAGCCTACGTCCTGCTGGTACTTGTCGCTGCAGCGCTGTTTCTTTGGGAATGGATCACCATTACAGGAACTCGCGATACGTTCGCCGTTCCGGTAGTCGGCCTTGCCACGCTTGTCTTGCTTGCCGGGCTGGAGCTTGCAGGCATGCCCGGATTTGCGCTGCTTGCGATGCTGGCAGGCGCAATCGCGACTTTTGCCGCCGCCGGTCTTGGCCGGGCTGGTCGCTGGGGTGCGGAAGGCGTGCTTTACAGCGGACTGGCGCTCTATTCGCTGCTTGTCATCAGAGATGGCACCCACGGAACACTTTTCACCTTCTTCCTGATGTTTGTCGTATGGGCGACCGACATCTTTGCCTATTTTACCGGTCGCGCGCTCGGCGGACCAAAACTTTGGCAACGAGTGTCTCCCAAAAAGACGTGGTCAGGTGCTCTCGGAGGGTTGATATGCGCAACCTTGTTCGGAACGGGCGTTGCTCTTGCTGCCGGGTCTCAAAGCCTGCTTGCCTGGGCGGCTCTGGCCGGTGTGTTGTCGATTGTATCGCAGGCGGGGGATTTGCTGGAGTCTGCCATAAAGCGGCGCTTTGACGTAAAGGATTCAAGTCGTCTGATCCCCGGTCACGGCGGGATCATGGACAGAATTGACGGTTTGGTCGCAGCAGCAATCTTTGCAGTTGCTATCGGACTGGTGTCAGGCGGCTCGCTCTCGGATCCAGTTGCCGGCCTGGGGCTTGGTTGAGTTGGAGAAAAATCAATGACGGCTCAGGCCGAAAAGATGGGTGTGTCTGGACCTGTCAGGGTAACAGTGCTGGGCGCAACGGGGTCAATCGGCCAAAGTCTGGCAGACCTGATTGAACGAAATCCTCACCGTTTTGAAGTCGTTGCACTTGTTGCAAACAAGAATGCCGAAGCACTTGCCGAGATGGCAATTCGGCTCAAGGCGTCGTCTGCCGTTCTTGCAGAAGAGGGACGGTACCTGGAACTGGTTGAGAAGCTGAGCGGACGGGGTATTGCTGCGTCAGCCGGTCGAAATGCAGTGTTTGAAGCAGTGGACAGGGAAACCGACATAGTGGTCGGGGCGATTGTCGGCGCTGCAGGGCTGGAGCCGACTTTCCGCGCCATTAAGCCAGGCAGAAGAATCGCGCTTGCCAACAAGGAGTGTCTTGTATGTGCAGGCGAGCTCTTCATGTCCCGTATCCGTGAAACAGGTGCAGAACTCCTGCCGGTGGACAGTGAACACAACGCGATATTTCAGGTTTTTGAAGCGGAACAGGCAGATCAGGTCGAAAAAGTCATACTGACTGCGTCGGGCGGCCCCTTCAGGACGTGGTCGCATGACGACATGACCCGGATCACGCCCGAGCAGGCACTCAACCACCCAAACTGGGACATGGGCGCACGCATCACGGTCGACAGTGCATCAATGATGAACAAAGGCCTGGAGGTGATTGAGGCTTCACATCTCTTTCCGGTATCGCATGATCAGCTGGATGTGCTTGTTCATCCTCAATCGACGGTGCATGGCCTGGTCCAATACAAAGACGGATCGCTTCTCGCTCAACTCGGCAGCCCGGACATGCGCACTCCGATTGCCCATTGCCTGGCATTTCCGCGGCGCATGGCAGTGCCGGTCAAACGCCTGGATC